ACATCTGTTAGTAGATTCCATCTTCAGCCCCTTTCAAGTCAATTTCAGATGGGAAAAAGTTGTGTTGCTCCAAAATTGATTAATTGCTGCTTGGAATCTTTTTTAAAGTTTGAAGAATGAAAATAATAATAAATTATAAAATAAAAATAATTTATACTAAGCATAATATATGAATTATCATTCAGAACCAGCTCTTTACCAAACCTATAGCCTTTAGCAACGGTAATCCCTGTTTTAAAAAAACTTACTTGGTTGAAAATTACAGACCAATCTCATTGTGTTGTGTTACGTGCAAAGTTATGGAATCAACTTTCCACCTAGAGTCTTAATAACTTACTCTGCAATAAACAATTTGGTTTCAGAAAAAAATTCTCCTGCAATTTGCAACTTCTACACTGCAAAAACATGTGGACTACATTTCTCGACCAGGGTAAAGCAATAGATGTAATTTACATTGACTTCTGCATAGCATTTGACTCAGTGGTACATGACAATTTATTAAAATTAAATTCTTACCACATTTCCGAATCCCCTCACAAGTGGATTACTGCCTTCCTGACAAACAGGCAACAAACAGTAAAAATAGGAAACACCCTATCAAACCCTGCACCAGTTATCAGCAGTGTCCCACAAGGGAGCATTCTAGGACCCACACTCTTTACACTCTATATAAATGACCTTTGTGATCACCTTATTAGCAACTGCGTCCTCTTCGCAGATGGTAAAACTATTCAACACCACCGTCAATGCTAACGTCCTTCAAAAAGACCTTGATTATGTGTCTGAATGGTCTAACAATTGGCAACTCCAAATATCTACCAACAAATGCTCTTTCCCAGACATTGGCAAAAAAAATCTATATACCAAATACAATTAACATGGATATGACCTTGTTGATGACCCTCACTTTGTCAAGGACCTTGGAGTTCTCACACTGAATGATCTAAGCGCCAAAGCTCAGTGCAACAGTATTGCCAAAAAGGCTTTAAGAGTTGTAAATTTAATTTTACGAAGCTTCTCTGGTAATACTGTTTTGCTAACTAGGGCATTCAAAACCTTTGCTAGACCAATTCAGCTCTGTTGCCTGGAATCCGCACTGTATAGCTGACAAAAATACAATTAAGTGAGTCCAGAAGTATTTTACCAGAAGTGTTCTACATTCCTCTGTTCACAACAGAATATCCTACAGCACCAGACTTGAGATTCTTGGCTTAGACAACCTTGAACTACGCCGACTAAGATTAGACTTAAGCATAGTACATAAAATCATGTTACAACATCTTACCAGTTAATGAATATTTCAGCTTTAACAACAACACTAGAGCGCATAACAGATTTAAACCACTCCAAACAGAGTGGTCAATGTCTGGAACTCACTACCTGATTCTGTTGTCACCTGCTCAAACTCCCACTCTTTTACCCTTAAACTAATCTCTATTGACCTCACCCATTCCTAAGAAGTCTGTAAGGGGTGTGCATAAGCACCCAATCTTGCTTACCATTCCTGTCCTATTGTCCCCAATTACTAGTTCCTATTTCTTGTATTTAAACTTATGTTTACTCTTGTTTCTGTTATGTTGTAAGCTTTTGACAAATAAAATAAATAAATAAAAGACAAAACTCCTTTATCAGGAGATCAAGATCAGGAGAGACTGGAGACTTTGAGTGCTAAATGAAGATAAGAGATGAACAGTTGAAGAATGTGTTATATTTTTGCAATGTGGGAGGCTCATTATTGTGCTATGAATTCGATGTCCTGGTTTGAAAGTAAAGAATAAAGCATGACAGCCAGAGTGATTTCTTGGGTTATGACAATGTTTTTCAACCAATCCATCACATATTCCTGCTAAAACACAGAAGTCTAGATGGAACAAAAGTTAAGCAATGTCATTCCAACATTCCTAGTTCGGCATGTTGAATTGTCTTGCAGTTATTCTTAAATGCATCCCACTTCCTGTTCCTCCTCATGTTCACTCTTTTGAATGACTTTAATCACCTACAAAGGAAAGCTCTCTCCCTCTATATCAACAGTAGAGGCCTTCAAATTTCTAGGTTCTATTATATCACATGACCTAAAATGGACACCTAACATCAAAAACATCATAAAAAAACCACAACAAAGAATGTTCTTTCTGCGCCAACTCAGAAAACTCAAACTGCCCAAGGAGCTGCTGTTCTACAGAAGAATTATTGAGTCTGTCATCTGCACATCTATAACTGTCTGGTTTGGTTCTGCAACCCAACAGGACAGACACAGACTTCAGAGAGTAATTAGGACTGCAGAAAAAACATTTACTACCAGCCTTGCCTCCATCGAGGACCTGTATACTGCATGAGTCAAAGAGGACTGTGAAAATATTTATAGACCCCTCACATCCTCGATATAAACTGTTTCAACTCCTACCCTCAAAACGACACTACAGAACACTGCACACCAGAACAACTAGCTATAAGGACAGTTTTCCCCCGAATGCCATCATTCTGCCAAACAAATAATTCCCTCAACACTGTCCAACTATTTGCAAAGTCTGCAGTACTGTTACTATTAATCTTCTCATCACTCTTCATTACCCATCCCCTCCCACTGTGTGACTGTAACTTTGTCACTTGTATCCTTACGATCTATATTGACTGTTTCCTAGTTTGATTTGATTGCTTATTGTACCCTGTGACTATTATTAACTGTTTTACCTTATGATTCTTGACGAATGTATCTTTTCTTTTATGTATACTGAGAGCATTTGCACCAAGACAAATTCCCAATCACACTTGGCCAATAAAGAATTCTATTCTATCCTATCCTATTTTTATCTGTTGCTTTCATTGTTTTCTGCAAAGAGAAGATGGTTAAACCAGACATTCCTCTCCATGCCATTGGGAATATCCTTTATTTTCTGCCTACATTGCTTTCACAGTTCTTTTGCCCTCTTTATTTTTGAAGTGGCTTCTAAGAGATAAGGTTTCCTTCTATACTTTCTCCTGTTGTACTTCTTGCTTCTCAAAGTCTTTTGCAAAACGTTTTTTGCAAACCATTTTTGCAAATGTCTTTCAGATTCTCTGCTATGTTCAGTCAGCCTTTTGTCAGTCTCAGCTTTGGACTTTGCCTTCCAGCAATGAACAGGAACTCTTTTTATATTCTGCCTTTAATCCAGAAGCTGAGATGACATAGATTGAACTCCTTCCTCTTCTCCCCAATCTGAAATAGGTTTATCTAAAATAGTGTTTCTCAACTTAGCACTTCAGTTTGCATGGACTTCAGATCCCAGAATTCTCCTGCCAATGCTGGGAGCTGGAGTCTATACATCTTTAGGTGGCCAGTATTGAGACACTGTAAGAAAATGCCTGGCCTGAAGTCAGCCAGGAAGCTTTCACAGTTCAGGATGGACTGGAAACCTGGTTCTGCATTCCTAGTCCAACTCACTACGCTGGCTGTCTACATTATTTTTATTTTTTGAGAGACTAGGGCTGTTCAAAAGAATGACTTTAAGGTATACATTAACAGTTGAGAGGTTTTTTTACTTTGCTCTTCAGTTCCTAATGTATTCTAATAAAGTGTGAAATTGTATGTGTGTGTATTTGGGTAATTAACATAGGATGAACAAATTGCTATAAAAATAGTAATTGTCAAAAATGAACCATGACTGCGCAACTGATCTTGAGCGCCCTCTAGTGATATACAGTGGCAGTTAAAATATATAAAATATATAATCCCGAGTACCCTCTAGCGTTATATAACGGCAGTTAAAAATTTTTGGGGGGAGCAATGTGATTATTTTATTTATGTATTAGTTGTTGGAGTAGAGTTGAGGTGTTTCAGTAGAGACATCGCAATATGCCTCCTTATGAATCATTATGAAGGAAGAATGAATGAATGAAATCCATATCACATTCTAACACACTAAGAAGTAGTGAAATGTAAATATAGCTTTTAGTTTATGGGTCAAGCTTACAGTCCTTACGACCAAAGGCTCTAAGTTTCTAAAATGCTGTTTCTGTCGTGCATATGGGAATGATTTCCCCATATGTAGCAGTGTTTTCCATCTTGTGCAGAAAGCTGTACATAACTGTGAAAGGAAGGTTAAATGACATGAAAATAATATTCTGTTTATTAGCAGAGGAGCATTTTGCCTGTTTAATAAAATTAAGATACCTTCCCTTATAATCTAATCAATTGCACTATCCTTATCTTTGAAAAAAAAGATGGAGACAATGAATACATTTGCATCTAGTCTGGTTTGCATAGCCCTATCACAGCTGTTTGCCTCTTTGGGAATGTTCTGCATTATTGGTGGGTTAACTCAGTCAGTTCACTTCTTACAGAACTAAAAACAGGAAATTGTCTGCCATGTGTGTGGAATCTTCCAGTATCTTTTAGTGGTATTACCTTCTGGGCTCCGGTAAATGCTTCGGTGCATGATATGCATATGACAATGTTGTTATGGTGGCATTACAGAACAAATAGCGCTAAAATAATCTATCAGTTAATGGTCTGTATGGCAGTTTGAACGCAGAATATTCATTGTGCTTATGTTTTTAGAAGGATGAGTTTGTATCTAAAGATTGCTGCATATTTTTCAGAACTTAATGTCCTCAGCTGTTGCTGACACAAATAGATATCTTTTAAAAATGCAGCTTCAGCAAGGTTCTCTCTACAGAAATGTCTACAATAGTTTAATGCTAGATCTCAAAAAGAGTGAAATTTTCAAGGATTTCACCCTCCTCCCCCAAAACCCAGACATCAAGGAAACATTTGTTTCTCTCTTGCCAAATGTTTTTCAAATGCCAGCAGCAATGTTTCTCTTTTGATGTATGAAAATGAATATGGCAGCAGCAGCAAAGAGGATGTGGAGGTAAATTTTGCAATGAAAAAGATGCTTTTTTTTGCACTTAGAAAGGACCAAACGTTGATGTACTCTTTTTTAAAAAAGACTCTGAAAAAAAGTTTCATCAGAGCAGCAATCAGGCTCAAAAATCTAATGTATGCATCTTTTCTTCCCCAGACAATAAAAAAACCGATTATGTTAATTTCTATCAAGGTTTATGGGACTGCACTGGTGATGTTCCTGATGAGCTGTCATTCAAACGTGGTGATGTTATCTACATTCTCAGTAAGGTACTGTATTCAACCCCTAATAGATAGGTATGGGGAGATAGTTGAAATAAGACCAAGGGGGAAAAAAAAAAAGAAAACTTCAAGGTCGTCAGGAAATGGGCATTTCCTTTGCATCTTTCACACTCAGTGAGAAGTTCCATGCACATTAATTATTTTGTCAATTTAATGTTACCACATTTGAAGTGTTATTGTGCAACAGGAATTGTCTTTAAAACGTATTTATCTCTGTTTGGAATCTTGGTTACCCACCACTAAGTAACTTCCCACTGAGACAATGCTCTTATTGCTTGTAAAATGTAGCTTTGTCAATATAGTATGGAGTGGATGTGAATGTATATGCTTTACTTCCTTTTCTTTGGTACTTCTTGTATATGCTGATCTGAGGAGGGAGGGAAGAGATGGAGAGAGAGATTTATATTAGTAAACTTTCACAGTTTTGGCCTCAAGAAGAATTGAGGTTCTCCATGCACATGGGTGTGATGTGAAAATTCATATGATTACAAATTTCTTCTTCTTTTTAATAACCATCCTTATCTGACATACATACATACATTTATGTATATATATATATATGTGTATGTATATATGTATATATTTATAAAACACACACAAACATATTCTATATACTCTAAAAGAGACAAAATTCTGCAACATGGCAATTTGTGTAAGACTAAAAACTTTAGATTTTTTATGTTTAAGCCCCTATTTTATTGTGAAGAAAGATGTCATGGCAACTTTATCTGGGAGTTGGTTTCTGCCTTTAATCACTCAGTAGAGCTGCACCTTTCAGATAAGTTTCCATGGAAAAGTGTCTGGGGCATTTTCCAACAACACCCCCCCCCTTTTTTTGCCACAATGTTCAAATCTTTGCAGAACTTTATTAAATTCCTGCCATACCAAAGCTAACCGTCACTCACGACATCAGGTCCCTGCCAATTTTCTTAAGAATGCCAGCAGTTTCCAGGCTAATACTTTCATAATATTCTTTGAGCTATGCCCTTTGTGATAGTAAAATGCAAAATGTTTCCCATTCGAGGTAAGAATAGCTAGAAAGGATCCAAAAGGACCTATTGTTACTAATAGTACTTTGATAATGAATTTGTTCTGTTTTTTTTTATAAATCTAACAACTTAGTTATTCATGTGTTCTACTAACTCTACAGTCTTTGTTTATCGTATCTGCTCTCCTGACACTTCTTGGATGAAAAATTACTTTAATCCCACATTACAGATAGAAAACTGGGCCTACAGAATATGTTACTAATAGAAGAGAAGTATGATGCAACATTACTTACATGTTTTACCTGCTTCTTTTGCATTATGTAATTCAGTGGATGCTAGGCATAGAATGAGACAGAGCAATCTTCCTATAGGATATTCAACAAGAAGCACCTTTGAACAAAATGGGGTGTTTTTTTAAGAAACGGTGCATTGGATTATATTTTAATGTTTAGCATTCAAGTCTTGTTACTTTTTTGAATAAACCAAAGGCTAATCCAGTTTAGAACATAGAATAATAGGTTTGAAAGGGACTTTGGAAGCCTTCTAGTTCAACCATCTGCTCAGGCAGGAGATCCTACACCATTCTGGGCAAATATTTGTCTAGTCTCTTTGTAAAAACCTCCAGTGAAAACCTCCAGTGATCGAGCATCCACGACTTCTGGAGGTAAGCTATTCCATTGATAAATTTGTTCTTACTGTCAGGAATTTTTTTTTATAGTTCTAGTTTGGATCTCTCTTTAAGGATCTTCCACTTCTTACTGCCCTCGAGTGGTTTGGAAAATAGGCTGAGCTCTTCTTCTCCGTGACAGCCTTTGAAGTATTGGAAGACTGCTATTGTATTGCCCCTAGTTCCTCTTTTCATTAGATTAGGTATGCCTAATTTCCTCAATCATTCATTGTACCGTTTAGCTTCTAGACACTTAGAGACCATCCTTTGCTCTTTCTAGGATTTCAACATCTTTTTTATATTGTGATGACCAGGATGCAGGTATTCTAAGTGTGGTATCATCACGTGATCTCAAAACTATTCCTCTATTAATGTAGCCCAAAATAGCATTAGCTTTTTTGGCAGCTGTAGCACACTTCTGGATGATGCTTAAATGGTGGTCTTCTAGGACACTTACATCCTCCCACGGTTGCTATTCATAAGGCAGGTACCAACTATTCTATATCTGTGCATTGGTTTCTCTTGCCTATGTGTAGAAGCTTACTTTTATCACTCATTGCATTTGTTGGATATGGCCCAAATCTGTCAAGATCCTTCTGGGTCTTGAGTCTATTTGAGTCTAACATTTTAGGTGTTATCTATTTATCTCCAACTTAGTGTTGTCTGCAGATTTGATGAGTTCCCTAATCTAAATGATTTATGAAGATGTTCAAGAGCATTGGCTGCAAGACAGAATCTTAAATTCCACTGCATCCACCCTCCATTGAGGATTATATGCTGAGTTTGGTTGGTCAGCCAATTGCAAATCCATCTGGTGGTGATACTGACGATTCCACATTGTTCTGTCTTACCAAGAAGTAGGCTATGATCTACTTTGTCAAATGCCTTACTGGAGTCTAAGTAAGCTATGTTCGTAGCATTTCCCTTATCCACTAATTTAGTCATTTTATCAAAGAAGGCAATAAGCTTTGGCTAGCAAGATTGGTTTTTGACAAATGCTGCCCTCTAGTAATATGTTGCTTATTTCTAGATGCTCTTATAACTAGGTAATAGGTTTCTTGTAATTAGATAGGTTTGTAGGTATCTTCTAGTAAGTAATTTTTAGGTTTCTTGTAATTAAGCTAATTTAGGTTTTTGTAATTAAGCTAATTTTTAAAAGTATTTTTATACCATTTTAATGGTAAGATTCATTGTTATTCCATCAGGATTGAAAATGTTCCATTGGAATCTTTGTCTTTTGATCTTGATCTTGCAGCTTGGCTATATTTTATAGCCTGGAGTTACTTAACTTCTAAAATTAATAAGAAATTTAAATCAAAATTCAACTTTATTTTCCAATTTGAGTATTGCTGTTATAAATGCTTCTGCAAAATATAGTCTTCTATCAGTTCTGAATTTAGGAAACAAAAATCCACAGAATAATAATTTTAATAATTCAGTTCTGAGACTTATTAGCCAGAAAAAAAAATTTAAGAGTACTGCTATGGTAAAATAATCTAAAGCCTTTGAAGCTTAAGAACTTGATCAAACATTTCTTAAAGCTGTCAATATTTCTTAACACTACAAAAAGCTTTAGCTTTTTGGCACCTGGTGATCCTTGGATTTTTCTTTTTTTGAAAATAATTCTTTACCCCATCTAGTGGTTGAAAATTGGAGGTGCACTCATTAGTGTTCAAAAATGATGCCAGAAATTTAACTTGGGCTTCCTCTTAATTATTACTTATTATGCCCTCATCGTATATCAGACCCTTATTGACATTAATTCTGATAAAATCTTATTCTCATGAATTAAATATAGGCATTATATGCTGTAGGAAGAATACAGTATAAATTAAAAGAGGTAAAAAATAACATTTCAACAGAAAAGAATTAACAAAAGAAGACAACAAAAGAGTTAACAAAAGAAAAAAATATATTTATGGCATTCTTTGCCAATAACAAGTTCTAGAAAGTCTGCCAAAGTGCTAATTTGGGTTTGGGCATCTTTACTGGAAAATTTATCTTGTTCTAAGTTACTCTAATATTTATAATAATTGTATGTTGATGATGAAAAAATTCAAAATCTTGGATAGCTTTTAAAAATACAATATACTATTCTAAGCAAGCTTAATTTACAGCTTCAATTATGAATCTGAATACGCGCTGCAAATAGTACAGAATTTGTATTTTAAATTCTGCAATATTGCATACTAAAGTTTTCTTATAGTAATTGGACTCCTGAAGATTTGTAAAATTAAATGGTTATTGTAGTATTTTAAAAAATTCTTTATTTTATTCTATATTTTCTGTATGTTTATTGTTGAAAAAAAATCCATAATGTCGTCTGGATTAATTGTAATATTGATTATATTCAGAAAGTGTTTTGCTTGAAACTTTGTGTATATACCAGCACGTTATTGTGATTTTTTTAATGAAATCAACTTAAATAATTCCATAATTCTTTAATTAAACATCCACATTTATCAATTTATAGAGGAAAGCAGCTTAAGTACTTTTGCAGAAACAAGGAACCAAAGTTCATTTTTAAAAATATAACAATTAAAATCAATTCTTTGATTACCCTTTCATTTCTTATTAAAAGTCAGGCATCAAAAGAGAACTGCAGGGGGAAACTCATATCATGATTTTAATGGTTTTAGGAATTTTTGTTAACAATTATATGTTATGCTTCTTAAAAAAGCAAATGTACCTGAAACTGAAAAAGCTGATTTAACACTTAATATCTTACTGTTTCCACTTTCCAAATAGTGCAGCTATTTGGTAGTATATAGACTTAATTTTCATTATAAATGTATATATTGTCAAGATTTCAAGTACTTTTATTATGAGTATATTATAAGGTGAGAAAGTGGAAGATAACTCTGTCAAGGTCAAGATTATTTTAGCTTATAAATTTGCTGGGCACATACAATTATAAGGCAACATGATTGATATTTGCATTCTTTTTGTTATATAACAGAAATTGGGGTTTGGGCACGTGTATCATATAATTAGTTACTCTAAGGGCCATCATTTGCACATTTACTTTGAGATTAATAATGCTGAATGTTACTTGCCATAATTCAGATAATATGGCTATCTTTAGAGTTGTAACATACAATATGTATTGTTTTTTTACTAGTAGAAGTATTTGATTTTGGTCGGGACTAGCTCTGAGAAAAACTAAAATAAATCTGCCATCTTAAATTTTGTCTAACAAAGTCATAGAAATATATTAAAATAATCTATAAAAGAAAACCCTGGTTTTCATTTATTAAATGCAGATGCAACATTGCTTTTTTAATTCTGGACTGAATCTCAATAGCATTTTGAAACAATTGTTCAGTAATTTAGTAGAAATCATGATCATGTATTTTTGTAAATAAAGTAAATTACCAATTTCAAAACAACCATTATCAGCTATCCCGTACAGATCCATGTTTCAGTGAGACTTCGCTATACCCTTTAAATGTGTTCAATAAAACTTTCCAGCATACTTGATAAATTTGTGAATTTTGATGATAGCACTTTTAGTTCATATCTGAAGCATTTACCATAATCAGTACTGAATTCAAAATTTTCCAAAATCTATATTTAGATAGAGTCACACAAAGCTTTCTAATAGCAAGTGGGTTGCCTTTTCTTAAATCTGTGATCATATAATATTCCAGTGCTAAACATTCATTAAAGATTTTTATATTTGTCATACTCATTCAGTTTGTCATATTTTAAAAAAATTATGCAACACTTTTAATGTCCCAGCATGATATTGAATCAAGTAATTGCTATGAATCGCCTTTAATGCAGTCTTAATCATTTATAATCAAGCTAGATATGGACTGCTTAAAGAAGGATATTTTGTAGAATCTGTTTCTTGGAAATAAATATAATACTATACAATTAGGAATTGCAATATTTGTCAGTACCTGCAGTATAATCTCATAGAAATCAGTGGAAATAATTTAGAGAAATACTGAATAGAACTAATGCTTCATGTAGTTGGATTTGACCCATTCATTCTGACATGCTGTTTCATCACACAGGTGCATACAAAATCATAAGTGTGTATTAAATCCAGAGGACTCTCTATGAAAAGATTTTTACAGAACAAGGAGGAGACTTTGGTGTAGGGTTTTAAATGTTAGGATACTCTCATTTATTGTCCTGAAATTTTAATGCTTCCCATGGTATTGATTATAATAGTGTGTGTGTGTGTGTGTGTGTGTGTGTGTATACACATTTGTTTAAACATCACTTTAGAGGATTCTCATAGATGTATTCTGGATTAGGAAGTAAATGGATTGAAATAGATTAATAATAGCAAAATTACATTATTTGCATTTACTCTAAGTAAATGGAGTTTGGACCCACCTCTTCTAAATTTAAAAGCATTTTTCTCTACTTTTCTTCCACTAGCTTTTTCTCACATGCACATTTATTGTTAAGCAATTCATTATGTAGGTCTTTAATTTCTTTCATGGTTACCTTCATATAATAAAGCATTACAGTTGCTTCTAGATCTTGATAGAATTTCTCCAGAAGGAGAAAGAAGCTTTGTGTTAGTAATTACCTAACATTGTTGGTAGCTGACTGCAGGCTTCTTACCAGTGATAACAGAATAACCACATAATGCAGCTTCATAGCACATGATTAATAGAAAATAATTACACATCCTACAAAGGAATGCAATAATTCTTATAAATTGACTGGAATGGTTTTGCGCAGATTAAAGGACTCTTCATTATTTTATCAGTCTTTTTGAAGCTGAATCAATTGCCAAAGCTGTAAGAAAGAGCTGATGGGAAGAATACACAGTATATCTAGACATACAGAAGAATTTTAGATAATAGGTTTATCTATATCTGAATAGAATATGAATAAATAGGTTATATGTAAGATTCAAACTATGTTTGTTATTCATTACAATTAAATATTTGACTCTTGATATTTAAATTGAAGCCCCACCATAAAACATTTTATATTTTTTTCAGTGATATAAGCAATTCATAATCTCTTAAATGAATTTAGTATACTTAAGAAGCTGCTTCATAACATACATTATTTCAACATTAAATTGTAATAAATGATGGCATATAAATCTTGTTGGTATTCTGATTGTTCTTTAATTGATTTAACATTTTAGATAAAAAATAAGTAATAATCTATATCTGGCAATCTGTATTTTGAACAAAATATAGAATATTGAAATTACAATAATACTTGGGTTTGCTCTAGAGGTGACTGTTAAGTTCTATACATTTCTGTTTGTGTGTGTGTTCATATGCAGAACTAGCATATGACCCTGGGGGTTGCTACTAGCCAAAATCACTTTGCCTTTTATTGTTGCTGAAAGTAACGTATTCATAAAGATGCTATAAAAGTATGGTCAAATTGATTTGTAAGTGCATACAAAAGTTAAACACATTCTAAAACAGGGGTATAAGCAAATTAACTAGTTAAAAATTGATATCTCTATAGTGATGGCAGTAACCTAAGGCTAAAACATTATATTTCCAATATAGCAGTTCATTTTTTCCCCTTCCTACCTGCTTATACTTCATATGCTTTAATTGGGATTCACATTGCTTGTGGGGTTCATATCAAGAATAATAATGATAAAGTAAGATTTGGATGTCGGAAACCTATCCATAAATTAGCTTGCGATACTATTGCACTTCCATTACCACAATATTTAAAATCAGACAAGTGCATTAAATTTAAATATTCTTAAATAGAAAGATGTTTTTTTGTGGGGGGGAGACAGGGAGTTTAGTATTTTAATTAGTGGCTCCTGAAGTTGGTCCAACTAACATTCTCAGAATATGATGTTTCTAAGTTCCTGAAATATCTTCATGGAATATTTTCATTCTGTCATAAAAAGTTTTAATTATCCTTTAAGTAGAACAGCATTCTATAGAACATCGTGATTGCTCTCTGCCTTGTTCTCCAGCACACATTTACAAAAAAAAAGTTATTTTGGAAAGCTTCCTTGGCAAGATTTCTCTAGCACAGGTGAAGACTGGCATTATGAGTGATTACTTGCACTTTAAATCTGTAGAGAGGGAGTTTGTGTATTTAAGCAGGCTAATGTGGAATGAAACATGTGTTTATTAAACAAACACACACAGCTGGAACATCTGAACCCTCTGGTGAGGCAGCAAGTGCCTCTTGCCTTTAAGGGTTTTGGCCTCAGAACAATCAGTCCAGCAAGAGTTATTCTTACTGTAGCTGGTAAACAAGCTTGCTTGCTGAATTGCACTGGTGAACTAGCATCGTGTACAGCCTTGGGAGAATAAAGAAGTCAAGAGTTTTACTTTGAGCTGCTCTTTTATCCTGATGGCAAATGAGGTAAAAGCAGAACTTGGTGATGTGATTTATTGGTTAAATGAGTGTATTAAGATCTGCCTTGTGGCTTTTAATACCTCAACTTTATAGAAACTTTTCCCAGTACACAGAAATGTCTTCGTTACCAAAACTAAAACAAAAATCTCTGCTACTTTATGTTACAGCATAATCTGGACAAACCTTCTCCTCAATGTTTGTGCCAAATGAGAAATTAAGGTGGACTTAAAATGGAAGGAGGTATGGAAAGACAGACTCAGGAAGAAAGACAAATTTGAGGTTATGAACAAGTGGGTTAATGGATAGAAGTAGATAGGAAACAAATGTGAACTGAAGATAGGATACAAAGCATATATAAGCTGTTAATAGATTAGGGTTAATAGATCTGGCACAAGTTAATCAGATCATTTGAAGAAAGCCCTGAGAGGGATGGAAGTAATTTTGGTTCCTTGCTGTTTCTATTACCTTAAATGCTATGCAAGGACAGGTGAATTTGCACCCCATATAATGCCTAAATCCCATCAGAACCCATTAATGCTTAGTTTCAGGTAAAAGCAGGCTGGCAAACACACACACACACACACCCGCCCAGCAGAATTCCCTCTAGGTTTATTCTATTTTCCTTGGCTTTTTTTTTAAGTGTATTGTTGCTCTGTCTTTTGAACAAGGAATCTGTTTTCTTCTGTTTGCTTTAGCACATATTTTAATGGAATCCATTTTCAATTGCTTAAAGTTATTGAGCTCCTGTTAGGATTAATCATAGCAATATTTACCTTTCAGGGACAAAGACAATTAAATTTTGATCTCTATTATTTGTTATTGCTTTCAGGAAAAGATTGTTTCTTAAACTTTCATATACTTGGTTTTGTTTGGATTCATCTTGCTAAGCCTAAATAAAATTCAAAGCAAAATGCATTTAGTAATTTTCAGGTTTATAAGATCTGTGATAAAAGTTTATGGCAAGAAGCATTGGTTAACACAGAGAAGAGGTAATGATATGTAGTTCTTATATGTGAATTTAATACAAAAATAACATAGGATGTTTTTCAACTCTGTTAAAGTATACTGTGTGTCTGTATGTCTGTGTGTATTTACAGTAATAGAGAAGTATGTTTCTATTAGTGAGAACCAAACAGAATAGACACAAAAAAAAGATGAATCCAATTTGAACACATCTGAAAAATGCCTCAACAATGTGCACTTTTTTAAAATTAAAAAGCAATATTACAAGGAAGACCGTACCAGTTACCTACAACTGGAAAAAGATTTCAGATTGAACATGTTTAGAACAGGGTTTAATCTTTCTTTTTGTTTAAAAAGTGTTTATCACCAAATCAGGAAATGCATACGAAATAGATGATGATATAATCACATTCCCATCTCATAGAATATATATGGCTTGCAGAATCATAGGTAAGTAAATAGGGTTTTTAAAAAAAATAATAATCTTTTTTTCAGACAAAGAAACAAATGCCTATTCATTTAAAAAGTAATTTTCTGTCTTGGCCCTAACTGCATTTCAAGTGCTTGAGAAAGTCATGCGTACAACATTCATGCACTCTTCCTTTACATTTTAATTTTCCATTCATGCTCTACATAAGGAGGAAACTTGAGTCATATGCAAAACTCCATTGCATTCATATCAGACTAAAGGTTAATTCTGCATATTGTTTTCAATTAGGAGTACAGTAGATTTGGCTGGTGGGTAGGAGAAATGAAAGGAACCATTGGCTTAGTGCCTAAAGCCTACATAATGGAGATGTATGATATTTGAGAGGCAAGAGTAAGTACATTTTAATTCAATTTTCTGTAATGGTTTATATGTTCCTTTACTCTGTTTTATTCAGGTTTCTTTTCCTGGAACCTTTAATGTATTTCGTTGGGTTGGGAGGAGGAAAAAAGATTTGTAATTTTACATCAAATAAAATATGGTGTTTTTAGAAATAGGAAAAATGTTCTCCAATACGTCCATCACACCAATATTGTGACCATCAGACCAATATCAGACCCTAACCCTTCATTTTATTATAATTAAAGAGTCCCAGGAATAAAGTATTTAGAACATTGAACATGTAAGCAATTTTATTTTGCAAAATGATCCCAGTGTAGGGGTTAGAAATGGTGAGCACACTTCTTTTCCTCATTTTTTTTCATACAGACTATTGTCTTTTTAAAACAACTACAATAATACCAAAACTAGCAGTCTGAGCTACCGTTTAAGTTGTTATAATTAATAAATTATTCTGCAGTTGGCAAAGGAAAGAGTGGTTTAGAAACCTGATCATTTGTGGTAGTCTCTAGCAACGTTATGCTTGCAAACTATGTGACTCGATAATTAGGTAGCTTCAAGAAAAATAGGGGTTCAAGAAAAACCATACAGTTCAAATGTTATATCTGCATGTATCCTAAAACTTGATTTATTACGAATTTTGAACGTGCTTCACAAAAATATTTTTAAAGACATTTCATTGGGAAAGATTTACATTCAAAATATTTCATATACCGTGGCCTATTTTCATTTTGTCGAGGGCATTCTAAAATTTGGCTTTGTGTAGAAGCTTCTTTTCCTATAGATATATTTTGCATTTAGCTGTTTTAATAGCAATAACCTATCTGCACCTTACATTAGAGCTGTGCAATTTTCCAAATACATATGTTTTGGAGCCTAGGAGGTATTCTTATAGGAGGTCCATGCAGCTGCTTAAAGCAACTATATCTTTTCTGAGAATGTAGGAGCTTTCAACAGCTGCAGTATAGTCTTTACAAAAGGGAGGTGCTGAGGTAGACATGTATTATATGTGTGTTCAAAAGATTTTTTTTTTAAATCTGGAGTACTGCATATCCTTCAATATAAATATCAGGTGTTAATGTTATAATTATACTCCTGATTGGCCATTTCTTATGCTACCAATGATCTAAATAGGTTCGAGACCATATGGATAAAGGAAAACATGCTGTTTTCAGGGGTTTGCTTGCATAACCAAATGTTTTAAAATTAATTTAAGAAAGATTAACTCTTCTCCTTTTCCCAAACTTTTAAAAAAATTGACAGCTGAGAAGAATTAGGTACTAAGCTTTCTCATTCACTTTTGTTCACTTTTTTCAGTCTTCATTTAATTCAGACATGGGATTCATAGCTTAATTATGAAAATAAAACAAATCAATTGAAATCTTGTAGAGATGTTGTTCTACATTAATAGGATAAGATTTAGTCATTTGTCACGTGAAGTTGTTATGTTGTGGCTCCAGTGCAAGGGGCTAAGGGGTTTTCTGTTCTGATTAATTACTGGGGAAAATGAGCAGAACTTAACTCTGGAAGAGTTCTGTGTGGTTAGGGTATGGACTGTCACTATTTGACTAAAAATGAGAGTATATAGGGCTTTAAACACATCTCCTGTTATTGCCTTATAATTTGTGAACTGCAGATAACTGACCAAAACTAAGGATATTCAATAGTTATTTTTATTGATTAGGGAGGTATTTTTAAATTTTGTTTGTTGTCTTTAATCAAAGAAAGAAGCAAGCCTCCAGTTTGTGCATCTGCTTTCTAAGATGCATTAAAGCTGTAGATTAGGGACATTTGCATTAATTGTGGTGGGGTAGAAAGGTAAAGAATAAAGAAATTTGCAGTATGGTATCCTGACTTATAGTTTCTTCATTAATGTAGAATCATATTCCAAAACTATTTAGAGGCCCTAAGGCTGGGAAAACATGGATTGCATAATTTCTTACGGTTTAAACATGTGTTACTTTTTTGCATTAGTAACTGTAGTCCCCCCCCCTCCTTTCCCCTTGCTTTTCAGCCAGGCTGATTCTGCAAATTGGAAGCCAACGAGGGGAGGCTATGAAGAGGCTACAGAGATCTATATGAAATGAAAGATTGGGAAGATATACACATTTTTACTTTCATTTTTGCTATTTGCTTTGATACTCTTTGTTGTGGTATACAGTTATTTAGGGTTGTATTTATTATTTACTTGGTAAATGAGCATGGCCTGATTATATGCACTTGAAATTTTATGGAAGAGAGCTGCAATAAATTCTGATGATCAGCCTAATTAATTTCAATATTTGCAACATAGCACATCTTTGCAAGATTTTATGCCTCTACTTAAGTGATACATGGCAGTGGATCTTTCCTGTAAACATTGCTATGATCTGCTTTTTCTTCCCTGAAAAGGAAATATATATCTGTTTTTAATATATTTGAAGAAGGCGTACACATTAAGAGCATCAGTTCATACATGTTCTTAGGTACTACTTTTTCTTAGCAGAACTTCTGGGAATATAAGTGCTTTCTCTAAAAATTTGCATGACTTAACTCTGCTTGATTAATGGCTGCTTCTACATATTCTGTTGTTTGTTTTTGCTTCAGTTGCTTCACAGCTTTTTCTTAGCTCTCAGAAGAAAGCTGTGAAGCAGTTGAAGCAAAAACCAACAATCATATGCAATGAACAGCAATAATACAAATTATATTAGGCTGCTAAGTCATTAATGTATTTGATAAGTCTTGTATAAAATAAACAAAATCCATTTTTTGAGTTTATTCTATTTATTCCAAAACTCATGTTTCTTTTCCTATAGAGAACAAGAGCCATGTTGATCCACAAACAATTTGGGTGATTAGTATTTATATTCACTTTCCATATTTTGGCTCTGTCTGGGGATCACCTCCATCTGTCTGCTCAAGTTCTGCAGGTATCATGCTCCTATTCTTTTCCCCCAGATTGGCATAGGTAGTATTTTGATGGTTTGATTAACTTCAAATATCTCTCTGAAGTTCAGTTGTACTATTTCATCCGCATCTCTCATAAAAGCAGGATCAAGAAGGTTCAGTGTTAAGACTTTTTATTTTGGGGAGCAGAAGCCATAAATTTCAGAAAAATATGTATTGCGATCGTAACTCAATCTGATTTGATATATTTCCTGTTTCTAAATTAATAGTGGCCAAAGATCAAGTTTAGACAGAATTCATCTAAAATTAATATAGCTCAAAATACGAAATGCTCATAAGTTGCAGTTAAGTTGTTTTAAAAGGGTTCACCTGTTTCTGTCTATCTTTCTAGTTATCTTTTACTCTGCATACATGCAAATAGTTTATCACACAGTGAAGCTATTAATTTTCTGCATATAATTATCTAAATATATATTTTTTTAAAATAAAATCTTTACTCACAGAAACTAGTATGATAAAGGGAAGATTAATTGGGTGAATTGGAAATAAATTCCCACTGAAATCAGAGAGACCTAAATGAATGTAATGTATATTGTGATTTACACTTACAAGGAAATAAATCTTGTCTGCTTTTGAGGAAACATTTAAAAGGCTCCAACATTAAGTCTGTATCCAATGATGTCTACTCTAACCCTTCGCAGAGAAGTGTTAAAACAAATCTCCCTCATTGCTTTCTGAAGTGCTATATCCAACAACAGTTTAAGCATGTGATTAATGATTCTTGATATGCATCAAGGCATACCTCTTTCAATTGCAATGTTTATCTCCTATTTTATTGTTTTGTTTTTTTATAAATTCCATTGAAGTCTAATGGCTGGACTATTATTTTAAGAAAATTCATTGGTGAATGAAGAATTCTTTAGAAGGATTAATCATTCTTCAAGTTTATGGATATGACCTGACATGCGAGATGCAACGGTTGTTAACAAATCAGGAATTATATCACTGTTCCAAAGTGTTTCTTAGTGTTGGAAATAATGCTAATCTAAGAGTTTTTTTGTATTACCAACGTTTGCCAGAAGATGGCAGTAGACTTTCACCGCACTTGCTGGTGAAGAACCCATCCCCCAGCCACTTTTTTTGGTGTTCAAATGATTTTTTTGTAACTTAAAATATTTGGAGAATTTCCTTCCCTTTTTCATTTTAATCCAGGAGAGGGAGTCCTTAGCCAACTGATCAATGAAAAACCCTTCAAATAATTTTTCCTATTGATTGGATGATGTAGGCAGCAGTGATTTTATTGTTCTCTTAACCTTTCTTTCATGTACAACACAGCTGATGTTAGCAAACACACCATTCACAGTGCAGATATTTCAAAGGTACTATATTCATGTCTTTTAACTAGACATACCCTAATCTAAGCCAGTAAAAAGAAAAGGGTGAGCATATTTGTTTATGAAGGCTTGACAAAAGGCTTGACAAGAGGAGAGCCTGAAAAAAAAAATCCCCATTAATATGAACCATTTGGCAAAATACGCTAATTGGTTTGTTCTCATTATTTACTTATATTTCCTTGTGTTCTCTGCAAATGAGTTATTTTGTAAGTTATATTTTATATAATACCTTGCTTATTTGCTCTGTACTACGCTACACATTAGATCCTAGAATAACATTCCATGCTGCAAATTTTTAAGGTTCAAATAAAGTTTAATTGTTTGCAAACTGTTATGATGCTAATAATTCAATAGCCTGCTGGGTTACTAATGAAATTACTTTGTTATGATTAATTTGGAAAATAGTGTGTTGATTGTAGTAATTAAACACAACAAGGTGAAGTAAATGATTCTTATGCCATCTGGCCTCCAAAATGAATGAAGAAACGAAATGGAGCTGTCATCTGAATTTATTTGGAGACGTAAGGGTAATACATATGCTTTCCTATGCAGAGATGCCAGGATGTACTTATGTTAGCTTGTACAATGATTTCACACACATATGCATATGGTTATTCATTTGATTGTGTGGTTTATGTCCCAATTCTTTTCTTCTATATAGCCATCCATGGCCCCGGAGCACTCATGGAGTGAGAGCACGTCTGGAAGAGGCAACAGGTTGGGGATTATGTTCATAGCATCTGTATTTCCAGTTGCTATGAATGGACATAAGTTTTCAGGCAAAACATGAATGGCTGTGTAATCATCTGCTGTATTCTTAGTGCAAGAAATATACACTTCTTGAGATATATATTTGTTGGCAGGTATCATATTTAATGCTTGAAAATATTCTTGTAATTGATTTTAATGCAACCCTACAACACTATTTGAGATGATAACCCAGTGGAAAAAAATATATATATCATGCTTGTAGAGTATAATATACTTAGGCAAAAAGCCCAAAGAGATCAAAGGGACTTCTTACCCCAGTCATAAGAAGGTTAGTAAAAATTATTTTTGAGGACAGACTGGTATAGGGATAAGGGAAAATAGAATTGTTGAGCATAATTCAATGCCCAAGAATATTTATCCCACCACATTTACATTCTTCAAAGGAAACATGCTCCATCAACTATGTTGCGATAATCTAAACAGGTACAGGTAATTCTTGTCTTACAAGTTCATTTAGTTTTCGCTTGAAGTTACAACCACATTGAAAAAAGAGATTTACAACCGATCCTCATACTTAAGACAATTGTAGCATCTCCATAGTGATATAATCAAAATTCAGAAGATTGACAATTGGCATGTATTTTGATGTGGTTACAGCATCACATGATTGCCATTTGTGACCTTCCCAGCTGACTTCTAACAAGCTAAATCAATGGTGGAATCTGGATTCACTTAACAATCGCATGACTCACTTAACAACTGCAGCAATTTGCTTTACAACTATCACAAAAAAAAAATCTTAATATCTGGCACAATTCTCTTAGTAATTGCCTTACTTAACAGCAAAATGTATGGTACCAATTTTTGGAAATTGAGTAGTAGGTCTAGTGGATGATGAGCTTGGGAGGGGATTGATTCTCATTAAATTTGGATGGAATTTATCTCTACAGTTAAAATCCATAGGATCAGATGTTTTCTGAAACAGTTTTAAAATAGGAACTCACTTCTTTAAAAAAAGGCAGGGGGATTGTATCCAGGAAACCACAGAATTGTCAGCTTGACATCAATACCTGGAAAGATTCTGGAAAAGATAATTAAGCAACAAATCTGCAAACACCTAGAGGCAAATAAAGTCATAACCAGAAGCCAATATGGGCTTGTCAAAAACAGATCATGCCAGACAAATCTTATTATATTTTTTGACAAAGTGACAAAATTAGTGGACCAGAGAAATGCTGTGAATATAATTTACTTAGACTTCAGTAAGGCATTTGATAAAGTTAACCACAACCTACTATTTGACAGGAAAAGAAGGGTTAGACAGCACCAGATGGATTTATAACTGGCTGACCAACCACACTCAACATGTAGTCCTTAATGAAATTGCTTCTCCATGGAGGGAAGAATGCACTGGGGTACCCCAAGGCTTTGTCTTTGGCCCAGTAATCTTCACTATCTTCACCAATGATTTAAACGAAGCACTAGAAGGGAATTCATCAAATTTGCAGATGACACCAAGCTGTCAGGAACAGCCAATATTCCAGAAGATAGGCTGAAGATATAGAAGGATATTGGAAAGACATAGAGCCCTATCTAACAAAATGAAATTCAATGTAAAGTAATATTTCACATTTAGGCAAGAAAAATCAAATGCACATGTATAAAATAGGTGGAACCTGGCTCAATAGTAGTAATTGTGAGTGGAACTCTGAGTCCTAGTGGACAGTCATTTGAATATGAGCTAGCAATGTGCTGTAGCTGGCAAAGAAGCCAACACAATCCTATGCTGCATTAATAGAGGAATAGAATCAAGTTCACCTGAAGTTTTAATACCACTTTAAAATGCCTTGGTAAGACCAGACTTAGAATATTGCATCCAGTTCTGGTTGCCATGATATAAAAATACTGAGACTCTAGAGAGAATGCAGACAACAGCAACAAAGATGATTAGGGTACTGGAAGATAAAATATACAAAGAAAGGTTGAATGAATTTGATATTCCAGTTTAATGAAAAGTGGATTAGGAGTAATATGATAGCAGTGCTCCAATTTCTAAGGAGCTTCCACAAATAAGAATTCTCCAAAGCACCTGAAGGCAGGACTAAATGCACGGAAACTAATCAAGGAGAGAACTAATTTAGAACTAACGAGAAATTTCTTGACACAACAATTGATCAGTGGAATGACTGACATCCAGGAATGACTGACATCCAGAAATTGTGACAGCTCCAACACTGAAGTCTTTTAAAAAGAAACTGGACTGTCTGAAATAGTATAGAGCCTTCTGTTTGAGCATTGGATTGGAGCGGGGTGGGGTGGACTAGAAAAGCTCAACTCTGTTATTTTGTTAAGAGTTTTGTGCAGATAACAAGAAGTGGGCTGGTAAATGAGCAGCCATATGGGAAGCATTTCACTTTGTTCCAAAAAGATAAACACTTCTTAGTCTTTCATTTTTATTGTTCCTCTATTTTGGAGAATAATGAAATTTTCATGGTCTCAAAATCAAGGTTATCAATTATACCACAGGACACCCATCCTGTTTCTGAATGGCCCAGAAGGGTGAAAATGTAAAAAGGCTACAGACAAGAAATAGACTTAGTTGGCTGCTGGAAATAGTCCGGAAGCAAACTTTTTGAGACTAAAATTAATTCTCTCAGCTATTGGCAGCTTCAGTTAAGTGTCCTTAATATTTATTTAACGTTATTCTTCGCCCACATTCTGTTACACATTGTATTTGAAAAAGGGCCCAGTGTCTATCAGGCCCAAGCCCAGAGACGACACTAAATTCCAATGAAGTCCAATCTTGGTTTGCACCTAATGGACAGAATCT